ATTTCACTATTTTGGCTATACTGGAATATTTATCATTATCAGAAACTGTTTATTTTTTAATGCTTTGAGATGTGTAAATATTGATTTCAAAATAAAATAATAAATCTGAAATAAATATATTTCAAATAATATAAGTAAAATATTTTATTAATGATTTCATAAATAACAAGGAACTTTTTCCTGCAGATGAATAAAAATGACATAATTACAACGTTATTAACCTTTTGGAAAGCTTGTGAAAATTTTTCTCACAAGCAATCACGTGCTGTACTTTTTACAACACTTCGAATCTTTTATTTGGTAAATTTTATATGTAAACATGAATTTACATTTTCAGTCTCTTTTCGTTTACTTTTTCAGTCTCTCAATTAATGCACAATTATAATCAGCATAAGAAAAAAGATTAAAAAATGGATATTTCACAAGTAATCACACATTTTATGAAAATACTTACTACATGGAATAATTATACTTATAATCAATTTAAACATACATTTAGGAAGATATAGATGTGATTTAACGTTAACAATATGCTATGAAATCATTATTTAACTCAAGTTTATGAAATTATTTAAAGATAAATCAAGTAAAAAAATATTTTTGTAAACAACTCCATAACCCGATTGTTAATTAAAATCAAATAATCTGCCAAATTATTGGGCTGTAACAAGGATAACTAAATGGTCAGAAACAAAATAATTTGTCTAGTGGTAGGAGGTTACGCTATTATCTTGTGTTAATTTTAATAATTATATATTTTGAATTTAAAAGCAGCAGCAGTGTTGTCAGCTTGAGAGGGTAATCCCTCCACCTAGTGTTTTTTTTTCCCTACAGAGGGATTTTCTTAGAAAACAGCAAAAAACGCAGGGATGCTTAGAATACTTATTTTTAAATTCCGTACAAGGAAATGTAATTCGGAAGAGGTAGATTTTGGCAAATAATGAAAATATGGCATGAGTACATAACTTTACTCAACACTGGCTTCTGAATTTGTAATGACAGGGATTTTTTTAAGTTCATAAAGGATATTTTTACATACGTGAAATAAATTTTTGTTTCCTATAACCTAACAACACTGAGTAACAGTTGCAATTTTAAGTCCCGCTCAGGGCTGCGTATTTTCTTCCAGAAAATTCTATTCCGATAGTCCGATAATTAGGCAGATAGTTTGTCTTTAAAATTATTTTTGATTTGTCCCACATCTTAAGCACGTGAAAATGACCAAAAAAGTGAGAAAAGTGAGAAAATGACCTGAAAAGTGAGAAAAGTGAGGATACTTCAGAAAAGTGAGTACAAGTGAGAAAAGTGAGTGACTCCGAGGCCTGAAAACATAAAATATTTGAGTAGCCCGAGAAATAGCCGAAGATTGCAGCGCCACAGCACTAGCGAAAATTTAAATTTGCTGACTGGAATGCTTTCGGATAACGGACGTTTCGGATAACCAGCTTTAGGATAAACGACGCTACACTGTATTCTAGCAAATCAAGAGAGAATTTTATGTAAGTTCCTTTACATGATCAAGACTTAATAATGTAATCATGGCTGCTGATCATTATGTACAAAAGAATTATTTAGAATGCATGAATAACCCATACAAAACAATAAAATATATTTCGTCTCCGCTGATAGTCAAACTTCTTGCATATTCACATCAAATCAAACTGATTGTTCACTATTTAACTTGAGTGTTTTGCTATCAATTAACACCTCAGCTGATTCTATAAATCATTTGATTAAAATTCATAGCACTTTCATGGTTGTAAAGTCTGTTTTGAAATCACCCTGTATAACAGCTATAAATCTAATGAGGAGATAGCATGACATTGGGGTCACTAATTTTGATCAAACTCGATGAGGTTATAGCTTATCCCAACAACTGACATGTGCCAAGCAGTAAGGTTGGCACATGTCATCATGGCACAAATTTAAAAATACCAAGAATTATGACTTATAATTTTGTGTAAAAAAAATACAGACATACCACCAAGAGTTGAAACACAAACCTCATGATTATGAAACAGGTCCGCCCCACCAAGCCACCAAGTACTCTACAAATGACAGAAATTCTAAAGGTTTTAAGTGATTTGCACTTTTCAACCTCAATTTTCTCCTTTAAGTTTGAGTATTGCACTTTACTGTTTGGCACATGTCAATCAAGAGATGCACTATAACCTCACTGAGTTTAATCAAAATCAGTAACCCCAACGTCATGCCATCCCCTCATAAACCAAACTTTTAAATTGAAAATCTTGAGGTCAATTTGCATGCTGATATATCAATATGATAACCAGAAAATCTAATAAGAAGCATTGCATTGCAATAGCCATGGTAGAAACAGATTTAATAGGGTTAAAGACTCTCTCTCAGTATATAATTACCTCAGAAAATAAGTCAGTTCTTTTGATAGATCTTGTAATTTCTTCAAGTAAAGTTTTGTTCTATTCTTAATGACAGTCAGTAGTTCTGGTAAATCCACAGATATAAACATTAGGAAAAAATAAATCTGTCAGACTAGATTTCCCAAAAAAGAAAGGCCAATTCTTTCTAGTTTGTGATTATTTTTGTTTAATTTTTGATTTGTCAATTCAATTCCAAGGATTAAAAGTTACTAGCATATCAATTACTAGATAATAAATTAAAATCTCCAGGTCTTTCAAAAATTAGTGAAATCTGAACTATTGACATCTCTAGTGTCTCACCTTTGAATTGTTTAAGTTACTAATTTGCCTGGTGTTAGTTTTATTTCTGAACAGATATATTAATAAAGTAACTAATTAATTAATTACTTCATAGGCATCCTTACATAATTTAGCATCTTAGTTATCAAAAACTTCTATAAAACTTCATTTTAAAAGTTTTTTCTTTAATTTTATTCTATAAAACTTACCACTTCCATTCAGATAAGCTCTTCTTATCATTTGGGTTTCGTCATCTGTCCAATATATCTTATGTTCTTCTGGATCATAATCTACTGCAATAGTGTGACGAATCCCTTGTAATTGTAACACAACATCAGTATAATCAGGAGTATCCAAAGATATTCTTCTTATATCAGTTCTTCTAGCAAGAAGTAGAATTTCTTGTGGACCTGAAATTTAATATCATAGTATTAATCAATAAAAATTAAATAGATCAATATTAATCTCAAATCTTTCAATTTAAGATTTTCCATTATTCTAAAAATTCAGAAATAAAATAATTGTAAAATATAGTAGTAATCCAATTTTATTATTTTCACAGCTTATTTGACATTTTAATTTTAGATAGAATTGTTGTTAAACAGGTTTCAGTTAGTTATTTCGGTAATATGAATATCAGTATTGTGGTTATTATAACTTAAGTTACAAAAGTCTGGATTTAAACGTTATATTCAAAGCATTATCCCAGTATAATTAGAAAATGTAAAATAATTTTCTTTAAGAAAATAAAGTTATAAAATAAAAATTCTAAAAGTCTCTCAGTCATTTAATCAATCTTTCATAAAATTATATTTACATGTATTATTACATATATTCTATAATAATGATATATAAATTCAAATCATTCATACAGTTATTTCTATGGGCAATAGCAAATTGCAATTAAATGAGATATTCATGTGTATATAGTTCTCTACATTCTTGGCTTAAGGTTCAAGAACAATGTGAGAATTCAAATACCCTCCTTTTATTTAATCAAAAATAAATAAGTTGATATTTATTTAGAAAACCTTTATAAGTTTTTAAATGAAAATTTTGTAAAAATTCTAAAGGAAACTGCTGTAGCTCACTTCCTCATGGAGGGAAGTTGAACTTCCTTTAGACGACTGACTTGCAAGATGATTCAGATGCAGCCTTTGCACATGTTACTTGGCCATCTGAAGAAGCTGCAATAAAAAGGGCTTTTTCCTGCCATTCGAAGCAGTTCAACGAAGTACAAACATGCCATAGGAAGTAGTCTAGCAAGAAGGGAAGATTACCAAAGAGTATAGAGAACAGCTGCCTAAGAAGTCTGCTATATTTTAATAGTGCACACACAAATGCTGCGATTCCAAACTTCTCCCATATCCCAAATGGAAAAATAATCGAAGAAAAGAATAAGCTTCATACTGTGAAGGTAATATAAAATGTTAGATTGATGTAAACTCTCTCTCACATGTATAGGTTGATTTAGATTAAGTTAGATAGTTGATTGATCTCTCTGTGAGATAAGTCATCATAAATACAGGGTTCCTACTCAAATTTTTGTTTTGAATTCCCTGACCAACTTTGTCCAAATTCCCTGACCCTCACATTTTTTAGTGTGGAATATCGATATAATAAAACAGCATTTACTGTTAACATTGAGTACATTTAGCCCTCTTTTTGCATAGTTGATATGCTTCAAAGACTGCCACATNCGTTCCAGCAGTGTTTCCAGCAATGGCAGGAACACTGGGAGAAGTGTATACACTACCAAGGAGACTACTTTGAAGGGGATTAGGATTTTGTACCTCAAAATCAATAAATGTATTTTTGCCAACCAAAGGTCTGATACTTTTTGAACAGCCCTCATATAATGAAAAAAGTTGTCATTTGGAAGTCACTTTGTTTTTCAACACAATGCAGTTTATTTAGCTCTATCACAAATAGCTCTTTGCACTTCACTTATTTTATAAGTTAATTACATTTACAATGAACTTGTAATGAAAATGAAGTGAAAGAACAGGAGAAAAACTAGAATATTTAAGGTTATAGCTTCCAAATTGCATATTAGTTAAATGTCACATTTCCAACAGTAAATTCAAACAGTAGTGGTAGACTATGTAAAGAATTAATTTCACTCTAACAATTTTCTGTGGAGTATATATGCTGGTGCAGGTTATATGCACTGTGCAGGAAATTAAAGTATGAATTTTGGATTATTAATATTTTTGACTAAATCTTTCAAATTAATAATTTTGCAAATAAAATTTCAATATGTAGTATTTTCTTTTGATTCTCTTTATATTAAATTATATTGAAAATATTTTTACAAATATATAAACATTATTATTATTTGTTTTATAAAATAAAACCTAGTCTGTCAAATAACTTGGGACTTGGTATAAAATTTAGTATGGATTTGATTACCCATACCAAGGATAAGAGATATATTTCAGAAAAAATCCAGTACATCATTTGTCTTAAAAGTACATTATAATTATTATACAAAAAATTAAGATTAAATCATAACATTAAACTAAAAAACTGTTAAAATTAATCTAAAAGATATTTAAATAATGTAAGTTTAGCTCTGTTTTAAATATTAAAGATATATAATAGCAACAACTTACCCCTCAACTGGATCAAGCACAATGGCTCTTGGTTCATCAAGATTTTCAGTAATTAAAATTTTCCGAGATGTTCCATTAAGTCTAGAAACTTCAATTCTATCAGTTCCAGTATCAGTCCAATACAAATTACGTGCAATCCAATCAATGGCAATTCCATCAGGATGATGGACTTCTGTTGTTATCAAATCTTCTTGCTCTATATAAACAGAGAATTAAACAATATTTTTATTTTAAATATAAATATTTCTTAGAAATAATATAAATTTCATCATTAAATTAAATTCTATTCTATTAAATTTCATCATTTAATAGAATATATTGTCAGATATTTTATTAATTATAAGGTTGTAACATTGAATGACATTTCAAAAATAAACTTTAACATGTACATGAATTTGTTACTTTTAATGACTATCACAAAATGTTGAAGATTAACTAATTTTTTTTATAATATGAAATAGCCTATTCATAAAAAAATAGCATCAATGGTTATTTTCAGATGTACAGTAGAGCGTCGTTTATCCGAATCAATTGGGGACTGGGGTGGTTTGGATAACTTATTTTTCGGATAACGAATCATGTATGAAAAAATATA